AAGGATCCTATAAATCAAGACTGCATGTACCACACCAAATAAATACTGTGCCTTTGAAGATTTGTCTCTGGTCATGCATCTACAATACAGGCTGGATGCATAAACAAAGTCAATTCTGAATGTCAGATTTTTTTATTCATTTTCATCAATGACAGCATTCTAGAACTGATTTATCACTCATCTAAGTCTAGTACCCTGGGTAATGATTATATAATTGATTAAGTAAATCAAATCAAATCAAATTGTATTTCTCACATACACGTGTTTAGCAGATGTTATAGCGGGTGTAGCGAAATGCTTGTGCTTCTAGCTCCGACAGTGCAGTAATATCTAACAAGTAATATCTAACAATTTCACAACATATACCCAATACACACAAAACTAGTAAGAAAATAGAAAATATACATATACGGACAAGCAAGTAGCTCTTTCCTTGTAGAATGTTGACAGCTGTATAGAACACATTGTATTGCTAAGATGCTCAAACTTAACTTAATAGCTACACTCACCGACACAGGATAAACTTTATCCCTCATGCTGGCCCTGACCAAACCGGTAAGTTGCCCCTCACTATAGCTGCTCTTCTCCACATGGCCAGACTTATAGTGGTCTTCTCTTCTTTTAATGCTCATCCTTGAAAAATGCCATGAGGTCTGAAATAGACACCAAAGTCGACATCCTGTACAAACAATTCTAGGCTAAGTAATACAAAATGATTTTTTGATCTACTACTCTGCAAACTAGCTGGCTAAAGTGTAGTCAGTGGCTAGCTAAAACTGAGAAAGGGGATCGAAGAAGTCCAATACTTTATTCAATTCATGACAATACAGCACATGGATTCATCATGGATTGGGCACAGGACTCTGATCGCGCTGGTGAACGGTAGCTGACAGCGTCAGATAGAAATGAGGTGCTGGAGCTTCCTGCTGAATTTGTAGTCTTGCTGAGGTCTTCTCTGTTGTTAATCATTTCACATTTTTGAGAGTAAATTGAGGCAAATATATTGATAAAACTAACCATGTCCGAGAGAGAATTACACGGTTATCAAAACGTCACGCCAAGGTAAGACTACACCAAACACATACTTCATTTGAAGTGTTTGTCAAATTCACGATGTGTGAAAAATGAATGGTGGAAAGACAATTGTAACCAATTCCGTGTTTGACCACTAGGTTTTATGGGTATTATGATGCGTCCACTGTGACGGATTCAACGTTCCAGATTTGGGATGGTCAGCTGATCCAGAAGTATTTCTGGCTGATCCTAACCTACGAGAAACGCGGGAGGGGGGGAGAGCCTCGTAAATGGCATCCCTTGAGAAAGCAAGAAACAGATGTATGTCAGGAGAAGTGCACTATTATCATAAGGAGACGTATACTTGGATGACGGAGGAGGAATGGAGGGAAAAAGAGAGGCAGAGGAGGTCTAAGAGAGAGAGGGAGGAAGATTGTGAGCTTGTGTCGGTACAGAATGGCGGGAAAAAGGGAGAAGGTTTGTTAAAGAAGAATGGTAGGAAATGTAAGCAAAGTGAGCTGAAGACAGGAGGAGAAATGGAAGTGAATGAGGGTGAAGTATCGGAGGTGGTAGGTGTGGTGAAGTACTCGGAGCCCGAGGATTGCACAGAGGGTCAGGATAAAGATGAGTCTGTGACAGTAGGAGTGACGTTTTTGGAAAAAGTGGACCCTTGCCTTTTGGCTGATCCATTTGTGGTTTCAGGATGGGTGAAAAAAGCGTTGGGTAAAGTGGAATCGGTGCGGGTTACCAGAAGTGGTCTAGTGATAATTGTTTGTGTTTCTGTTGGTCAGAGGGTGAAGGCGCTCAGAGTTAAACAAATGGGGGAAAGAATTGTGAATTGTTTCGCTCTCAAGAAAAGGGCGCCATTTAAGGAGTGATTACTTGACCTCATCTTTACTAGATGCTGTTCTTCTACTAATCTCACTGCAACTCCCCTCCAAGTCTCCGACCACTACTTCGTATCCTTTTCTCTCTCGCTCTCCTCCAACACTACTCACTCTGCCCCTACTCAGATGATAATGTGCCGTCGCAACCTTCGCTCTCTCTCTCTCCCGCTACTCTCTCCTCTTCCATCCTATCATCTCTTCCCTCTGCTAAATCCTTCTCCCTCCAATCTCCTGATTCTGCCTCCTCAACCCTCCTCTCCTCCCTCTCTGAATCTTTTGACTCTCTATGTCCCCTATCCTCCCGGCCGGCTCGGTCCTCCCCTCCTGCTCCGTGGCTTGATGATTCATTGCGAGCTCACAGAACAGGGCTCCGGGCAGCTGAGCGGAAATTGAAGAAAACTAGACTCCCTGCGGACCTGTCATCTTTCCACTCCCTCCTCTCTACATTCTCTTCCTCCGTTTCTGCTGCTAAAGCCACTTTCTACCACTCTAAATTTCAAGCCTCTGCCTCTAACCCTAGGAAGCTCTTTGCCACCTTCTCCTCCCTGCTGAATCCTCCTCCTCCTCCCCCTCCCTCCTCCCACTCTGTGGATGACTTTGTCAACCATTTTGAAAAGAAGGTTGACAACATCCGATCCTCATTTATTAAGTCAAATGACACTGCTGGTCCTGCTCACACTGCCCTACCCTATGCTTTGACTTCTTTCTCCCCTCTCTCTCCAGATGAAATCTTGCGACTTGTGACGGCCGGCCGCCCAACAACCTGCCCGCTTGACCCTATCTCCTCCTCTCTTCTCCAGACCATTTCCGGAGACCTTCTCCCTTACCTCACCTCGCTCATCAACTCATCCTTGTCCGCTGGCTATGTCCCTTCCATCTTCAAGAAAGCGAGAGTTGCACCCCTCCTCAAAAAACCTACACTCGATCCCTCCGATGTCAACAACTACAGACCAGTATCCCTTCTTTCTTTTCTCTCCAAAACTCTTGAGCGTGCAGTCTATAGCCAACTCTCTTGCTATCTCTCACAGAATGACCTTCTTGATCCAAACCAGTCAGGTTTCAAGACTGGTCATTCAACTGAGACTGCTCTTCTCTGTGTCACGGAGGCTCTCCGCACTGCTAAAGCTAACTCTCTCTCCTCTGCTTTCATCCTTCTAGACCTATCTGCTGCCTTTGATACTGTGAACCATCAGATCCTCCTCTCCACCCTCTCCGAGTTGGGCATCTCCAGCGCGGCTCACTCTTGGATTGCGTCCTACCTGACAGGTCGCTCCTACCAGGTGGCGTGGCGAGAATCTGTCTCCGCACCACGTTCTCTCACCACTGGTGTCCCTCAGGGCTCAGTTCTAGGCCCTCTCCTATTCTCTCTATACACCAAGTCACTTGGCTCTGTCATATCCTCACATGGTCTCTCCTATCATTGCTACGCAGACGACACACAATTCATCTTCTCCTTTCCCCCTTCTGATAACCAGGTGGTGAATCGCATCTCTGCATGTCTGGCAGACATATCAGTGTGGATGTCGGATCACCAGCTCAAGCTGAACCTTGGCAAGACGGAGCTGCTCTTCCTCCCAGGGAAGGACTGCCCGCTCCATGATCTTGCCATCATGGTTGATAACTCCATTGTGTCCTCATTCCAGAGTGCAAAGAACCTTGGCGTGACCCTGGACAACACCCTGTCGTTCTCTGCTAACATCAAAGCAGTGACCCGATCCTGTAGGTTCATGCTCTACAACATTCGAAGAGTACGACCCTACCTTACATAGGAAGCGGCACATGTCCTAATCCAGGCACTTGTCATCTCCCGTCTGGATTACTGCAACTCGCTGTTGGCTGGGCTCCCTGCCTGTGCCATTAAACCCCTACAACTCATCCAGAACGCTGCAGCCCATCTGTTGTTCAACCTTCCCAAGTTCTCTCACGTCACCCCGCTCCTCCGCACACTCCACTGGCTTCCAGTTGAAGCTCGCATCTGCTACAAGACCATGGTGCTTGCCTATGGAGCTGTGAGGGGAACGGCACCTCCTTACCTTCAGGCTCTGATCAGTCCCTACACCCAAACGAGGACATTGCGTTCTTCCACCTCTGGCCTGCTGATCCCCCTACCTCTGCGGAAGCACAGTTCCCGCTCAGCCCAGTCAAAACTGTTTGCTGCTCTGGCACCCCAATGGTGGAACAAGCTCCCTCACGACGCCAGGACAGCGGAGTCACTGACCACCTTCCGGAGACACTTGAAACCCTACCTCTTTAAGGAATACCTGGGATAGTATAAAAGTAATCCTTCTACCCCCCCACCCCACCCCCACAAAATATATAAAATAATAATAATAATAATAATAATAATAATAATAATAATAATAAAAAATGTAAGACAAAAAAAAAAAAAAAAAAACATTTGTAAAGTGGTTGTCCCACTGGCTATCATAAGGTGAATGCACCAATTTGTAAGTCGCTCTGGATAAGAGCGTCTGCTAAATGACGTAAATGTAAATGTAAATGTAATTACTGGGGTAGCAGTAAATGATGGGGATAGGCGAACAAGTGATATATGTTTCAGTAAGATTGGATTTTTAGCGTTTATAGCAAAGTTTATTAATTGTACTGCAGGGATGGAATGTAAGTCGAAGAAAATTGAGGTTGTGGTGGCAGCTGCAGAGAGGTATTTGGGTGTGCGAAACTTGACATCAGAAGAGTTACAGGGAGTGTTAAGTGGTGATGTCCCATCATTTCAGGTTGAGGGCATGAGGTAGGAATGAATATATTTAAATAGTGGAGTATGGTGGTGTTAATTATTAATAATATTTTTGAATTTGTGAGTGTAGTGTTAGATGGTAGGGTATTTCTTTATTTTATTTTTCAAGGAAAGATAAGGGAGTTGTACTCCAGTCTAGTAGGTGGCGGTAATGCAACAAATTGGATGCCAACCGCCGGTAAACCTCATCGAAGAAGAAGAAGACTAGAAACGCGATCGATTATCATCACGTGGTAGAAGTCTCTTCCGCATTGGGCGGTCTCGTGACAACAGCTTTGAGTCCTGCTAGCTAAATGAAAATATATCTGATTAAAACATTCAACTGAAAGAACAACAAAGTAAAAATGCTTTCTCGTTTACTAAAGGAGCACCAATCGAAGCAGAACGAACGAAAAGAACTTCAAGGTGAGAGGAAACGGAAGTTGTCTGACTAGCTAGCTAGCGATACTTAATGCTAAAACAATACTAGTAAATGTAGATGGCTAGCTAATTTGTTAGCAGCAACATGAAGGTCGTTCTAATTAAGTTACTTGTGATCCTGAACCTAGACTGGAGCAAAGGCAGACAACTGTTGTAAATGCTTGAGATGGGACAAGTCAATTGTGAATTTCGTGACTAATTGCATGTATAGGTAGCTAACTAGTAAAGGCCGTCCACACCAAGGACGATAACTAGCTACAACGATACATTATACATAGCTATAAAACGTTGGCGAGCATCCACACTAGAGGAAAGTGTATCGTTATAAAGTATCATACACCTGTCAATCAACTGATCAAAACGTCCAACTGCTCGCTGTAGGCCTATTAATAATGTGGTAACACAGGCCATTCAGTGCTTCTGGGTGTGTTCATTGTCATAGTGACTTCTTCCTTCTTCTTTGGGGTTTAACTGCGGTCGGTATCCAATATGTTGTAATGTTAATGTCCAATATGTTATAATAGCAATAAGGGACCTTATTGGGGTTTGTGGGATATGGCCAATATACCACGGTTAAGGGCTGTTCTTATGCACGACGCAACCGGCTAAGGGCTGTATCCAGGCACTCCGCGTTGCGTCGTGTTTAAGAACAGCCCTTAGCCGTGATGTATTGGCCACATACCACACCCCCTCGGGCCTTATTGCATAAATATGCAACCCATCATTCATTAGCTAAATAATAGGCATAATACTTAAGTGAAGAGGATATAGGCCTAACCAATGAATTTCCACAGTAAAAAAAAATGAAGCGCATCATGAGATGACAGGCTACACTTTGTGGGCTCCCCAAGCTGCGCTCCCAGTCCCTGTGGGTACGCAGCTCAAATCTCCCCAATTTATTAAACTTTTTAAGGACAAGAAAGTGATCAAGCCAACAACATCAAAATAACAACACAATGTAATAATGCATATTTTTTTTATTTTGGTTAATAAAGAATTCTAGTCGAAGCTGTAAACTGCAGTGAGCTGTAAACCACTAAAAAGCTCTGCGTTCTGAATGCATATTTCATTCCCAAATAATAATAATTCGATTAGGCAACCATTTGGGTCAGTAATGAGTATTTTCTCTACAGTTTACAAGGTCCAGAAAGGCACATTAGCAGCCAGTCAGTGTATATTTTGTCAGGATGTTATCAGCGTTCACAGATACTATTGGAAAATATGGCCTTGGCATATTGATACGCTCTGTTTGTTGTGGATTATAATTCTCCTAAATTCTCCTATAATTAATGTTGCCAACAATATGCTCACATGCCCAGTTCTCCAGGCAAGCTTACCGTGCACTCCTCTCCAAGCTGCCTCGTGTACCTAGGACTAAGAACACTTCAATGGAACGCATTCTTTGATTTCGTTGGAGGGACAGGGAAAAAATCACTCTGAAAGTGATCCAAACGATAGCTCTCGTTCTCCACTCTTTTTGTAGTTATCGTTGTAGTATGAATGCTCCTGTTCACTTGAATTAGATTTTATTTTATTTTTTATTGTTATGGTTATCATGCTTGGTGTGGACGGCCCTTAACTCTGGTCCCATCATTCAACGACCACAAGAAATTGTATCTGCTTCTGTGTTAGAGGAACTCACACTGATGCCCTGGAACAAAGCTAGCTAGCACATAACTAAGTAGCCTCAGAAATCAGCTAGCTAGCTTCTCGCTTCTTCTTGACCTGATAGCTAACCAGCTTGCTGCCATCTCCAGTGGAGGCTATTCCATTCACCCATCATGACATGACAGCTGTTTTCTTTTTCCCTGCACAGAGGGACGTAGACGAGAGGCAATTACTGCTGCCACCTGTCTAACAGAAGCCTTGGTGGACCACCTCAATGTCGGGTATGTATGCCCTGTTTGGAACTACTGTTTTATGTGCCCCATTTTATGTCCTATTGGTTCGAGTCATTCAGCTGTTCAACTCAGCCAATTCAGCTCAAATGCCTTGACACGTGACAAATTAGACCTATGTTGTAACCTGCATTGAAAATGTGTTGCTACAGTCATCTATATGAGTAGCCTTGGCTTATTATAACATGTTATAATAGAAGAATGCCTGCCAATCGAAACCTGTGGAGCGATTTTAAAGTTCATCCTGGACTAAAAAGCATTTCATGGAGATTCTCAATTGAGTTGGGTTTTCAGTCCAGGACTAGGCATAATCTGGGTCGGGGAACGACCCTCTGTGTGCTTAGCTTTCAATCACTGTGTTAACCAATGATGGCATGTGACTCCACAGCACAATGTACACTGGTAATATTGAATCATTATGAAAGTTACTTAGTGGCGAACCCAAGAAAAGCAGCTTAGTGAGCAACAGTTGGACGTGACCACCATTGTTGTGCCGCTACGTTCTACTGCAGTGAAGGAGAGGAGGATAAAGTCAGGTGTTTCAACATTTCTCTCTCTTTGAGATTTAACGTTAAGGAGTCCATAAGGACATCATTTTACACTTTCAGGAGCTGTCAGTCTACTTTCTCTTCATTTTACAATATCAAATGGTATCTTTGCCCTTAAGATGTCGTCAGATCAACATTCTATTGAATAATGGAACTTAGTTAGCTTCCATCCTTGTGTCAATCTTTGAAATCATTTTCTGATCATCTCCTAACTCTTGCGGCTTATACCGTCGCTATACTCATCTGTATTGTGTTATAACATCTTATTGTAAGTAACATGTTTTTAACAGGTGCTATACATCTTATAGCCTACTCTTCTTCCAGTTGCTGTGTGTGATGTTTTAATTCCAGGGTGGCCAAGGCGTATGTGAACCAGAGGAAGCTGGACCATGAGGTGAAGACGTTACAGGTGCAGGCCGGACAGTTCTCCAAGCAGACTGGCCAGTGGATTAGTATGGTGGAAGGCTTCAACCAGGCCCTGAAGGTATACACACACACACACACACCGTCAACCCTATATGGTCTTAGATTAGTAACCAACATCTCTAAATCTTTTGATGGTTGGTGAGTGGTGGCAGACCCCCATATTAATGAGTGTTTTAAAAGATTTCAGGAGAAGTGGTATGGGGTATTTTCCTTTTGCGACAAAAACAAAGTATCTTTACTATCCCTAGAGGCATTGAAGTTGGATTGAACTGTTCCACTCCTTTTTTTGATGTAACATGAGCTCTGTCACCTATCCAGTGAAACATTGTAATGTTCAAAATAATTATATATATATATATATATAGTATTCCCAGCCACCGTCACAACAGGAGGCCTTTTGCCAGGCCGTCATTGTAAATAAGAATTCCTTCTTAATTGACTTGCCTGTTTTAAAAAGAGGTTAAATAAAAATATATATACAATTTCCGTTACATTACTGTAGGCCTCAAGCACATCAATATGTATGTGACTCACACAGATAGCTACTGTTCTACCAAGACCGCTCGGCTGTAAGTCAATCTCTGTGCTGTGTCTTTGTTAGCATAGTGGAGGTAAATCCAAACTCTGGTTGTTGAACATCAAACACAACATTCCCTCTCTCTGGCCTTCTACAATGTTCTGTGAAGCTGGTGCATTGTGCTTGTGTCATATACTGCAAACTGAGAAAAGAAAGTGTCACTAGCCTGAGGGACCTTGGCTTGGTCAGGGAGAGAGAGGAGAGGGAGAGAGATGTTTTGTCACTGTCAAAATACCTCTGAGTCATCTCAGTCAAAGCTAATTTTTTGCTTTGTCAAGAGGATGACTTTCAGGACCTTCTGACGATTAAACGATATGAACCTCCATCATCATGTCTGGTGCTCATTCATAAAGTTGACAATACCACCCCCTTGTGGCCATTACCATAAACATATACTGTATTTGGATATACAGGGGCTTCAGAAAGTATTCACAACCCTTGACTTTTTCCACATTTTGTTGTGTTACAGCCTGAATGTAAAATAGATTCCGTTTAGATTTTTTTGTCACTGGCCTACACACAATATCCCATAATGTCAGTGATTTTTACAACACATCACTGAGTACCACTCTTCATATTTTCAAGAATGGTGGTGACTGCGTCATGTTATGGGTATGCTTGTCATTGGCAAGGACGAGGGAGTTTTTTTAGGATAAAAATAAACAGCATAGAGATAAGCACAGGCAAAATCCTAGAGGAAAACCTGGTTCAGTCTGCTTTCCAACATACACTGGGAGACAAATTCACCTTTCAGCAGGACAATTACCTAAAACACAAGGCCAACTACTATACACTGGAGTTGCTTACCAAGAAGACATTGAATGTTCTTGAGTGGCCTAGTTACAGTTTTGACTTAAATCGGCTTGAAAATCTATGGTAAGACTTGAAAATGGCTGTCTATTAATTTATCAACAACCAACTTGACAGAGCTTCAAGAATTTTAAAAATAATAATGTGCAAATCATGTACAATCCAGGTGGGAGAGGAGGACTCTGATATTTGCGTTTTTTAACACCTGTAACAGCCATTTCCTGCAATCTAGAGCCTTAAATGATAACACCTGTTGTTTACGAAGCAAGTGAAGAATAACAATTTATTTTATTTGATACTATGGTTCTAAGATTAATTTAGCCTTTCCCAAGATGCTTTGGGAAACCTGGCCCAGGTCATTACCAGAATAACTAAAACAGTTATCCATTTGTAGTCTATAACGTGCAGGTTACTTATTCATGAACTTCTGGCATGTTTAGTTCTAACCCTCCCCATTGTATCTTTAGTGTTGACCCCTAATAAGGCCCTAACTTTTATCTAACCTTTTTTTTTATCTTTCTCTTGACCAGGAAATCGGTGATGTGGAGAACTGGGCACGTAGTATTGAGATGGATATGAGAACCATCGCCACAGCTCTGGAGTACGTACAGAAGGGACAGCTCACATCAGCCTCTTCATAGACACTCTGAACCCAAACCCAGAACCCAGAACCGGTGGACTGCTGCTAGGGCCAGTAGCTGAACCATCTCACTGTGAAGGAGTGGGTGGATTTACTGTGGATACCAGAATCCCGATAAGCCATCTCAAAGGATGATACGTGGCTTCAGAGATGACTTTAATGCTTGTCCAGTGTTCATGAGTGACACATTGTGTTACAGTAGGTATGTCTATGGACAAATAAACCTTATTGATCAGAGCATCTAAGGCCCGTCGCACAATGTTGTTTTGTTAACAACACTCAAATTGTTAAAAGGTCTACACCACATATATTAACCTCGTGGTGGAAATATATAACTGGCCTCCTGCTATGTGTAATATTGGGCCAGAACCTCACATATGGTTCATGTGAATTTAGTAACACTCCTAATAATGATTTAGCCGTTTACACAAACATTGTTTCCCCAGTGAGTCGATCAATGTGGGAGAACAAGACACAGCATATCTAACTAATCACTTTTGTAAGATCTTCTCCTGTGAAGATGAATAGGTCAGATTGGGGTGCTAGTCTCTCTCTAAAAGTTCTTCCATTTCCCTATTCCCATGAGGATGAACAGGACAGCTAGCTAGGCGTGGAACAAAAGAGGCCCGTTTGTGTAAAAGTAGCGTGGGGTAAATATAATTTATTGGCTTGTAATTACAAGAGCCAGTCTCCTGTTTAGAAAGAGACTGACTGGTAACTGCATTCTCCCTGTCTGACTAAAACAACCTACCCTGGTTGTTCCAGACTGAATGATCTGTTCATTGTTGAGTGAGTTTACATGCACACTAATAACTCGATATTAAATGGATTGTGGCAGTAGGCAGATTACGCAATAGTCATGTAAACACCTTACTCTGCCTATCTTAATCGGCGTAAGGTCGTAATCGAAGTAAGCATATGCCGATTTAAACATCTGGTTTTCTGAGCAATATTTTTGAATTATTAGGACATGTAAAAAGCTTAAACGGAGCTCCAGCGCTATATTTGACCTGCACATGTGCCAGAACCAGCAGCACAAGTCTCCTTAGAATATGCGTGAGTGAAGTTCAGAAAAACTGAAAGTATGCATCTTAGAAATAGTTTTCACATACAACTTTATATATACGAGCTTGGACTCAAAAAGGCTTCCCAAAAATAACATGGTTGCTGTGGTATAACTTTTATTTAGATTGGCGATTTTCTGTATTTATCAAAGTCCCATCAGGTAGCCTGATTTCAGATTTGTCCATGTTAACAGGATTGTTAGGGAAATAGTTATTCTTGCAAAGCATGTAAACATTTATATCAAATTATTATATTTATTGGACTATGTGCATGTAACCGTACACATTGACGTCAGTCTGGATTAGCAAGGCTAGAATGAGCTACCTCTACCCTGTTTAATAAAGGCGACGGTAACATTTCAACAGTCTCTTGCACCTTACACCCTTTGGAACATGTTTGTTCCTCTTCAATTAGTCATTCTCATCTACTGTATGTCTTATAGCCTGAGTTCCAGTCTGTTTACCCTATCATGCCAACTCATTGTCATGTCAAACACATTGACGGCAATAGAGTTGGTAAAACCACATAAAGATCTGGGGGACTAGGCTATACGTCTTGTCCACGAGGAAAAATGCTTGTCTCTTAACTTTTATGTTTTGTTGTAAGGCTTCTCTTTTCTTGAATGAAGAAATCAAGTAATGGTGGACGAACTCTGACATTTGTGTTATTGTTGGGCTGTGGAATCCAGTTAATCCAGCTACAGAACAAAGTAAAGCAATGATAAAGTTAATCCAGCTACAGAACCTTTTTTGGGGGGGGGGGGTGGATCAGCTTAATATTGCAGATAGATTGTATCTTCTATCAATGTAATTGTCTGCATCACTTCCAATCCCCCATGTTTTATATATATATACTCCCCTTTATTACTTTTCAACAATGCCCAGGCCTCTACTTCCAGCCTATACTTACTATCTACACCTTATGGACACAGTTAATTTTACAATAATTCTATTATATATATTTTTTGTTTTTGCTCCTGAACTTCTTCTACTCTCAACCTCTCCGATCATTTTCATGTTGTCCATCCGGTTTGCTTCTATATGCCATATCTTTCTAACTGTGCTCTTTCCCAAAAGCTCCCAACATACAACCTATATACTTATTATGGACACAGTATGCTTACATTATTAGCTATCTTTGTTGTTGTTATTAGTCCCATCCTTCAACTCTATTCAATACCTCCCATCTATCTCTTAACACCATCCATATTGGATTTCTATTTGCCATATATAGTTCAACCGTACTGTGATGTTTTACAAACGTTCTGAACCTTTCTATTCTCATTGCTTCTACAGATTGTGAATTAAAAATAAACATTTTTGCTAAAAGTATTATTATATTATTGATTGATTGATTGACTATGACTTTTCAGATCACCCAGTAATGCTATCTGCAAGGTTAGCTCCAGGTAAATATCTCACAGACCTGTAACTTCTTCTTTAAGAGGCTTCTCTGTCCTCCACTCGTTACCTGTATTAATGGCACCTGTTTGAACTTGTTATCAGTATAAAAGACACCTGTCCACAACCTCAAACAGTCACACCCCAAACTCCACTATGGCCAAGACCAAAGAGCTGTCAAAGGAAACCAGAAACAAAATTGTAGACCTGCACCAGGCTGGGAAGACTGAATCTGCAATAGGTAAGCAGCTTGGTTTGAAGAAATCAACTGTGGGACCAATTATTAGGAAATGGAAGACATACAAGACCACTGATAATCTCCCTCGATCTGGGGCTCCACGCAAGATCTCACCCCGTGGGGTCAAAATGATCACAAGAACAGTGAGCAAAAATCCCAGAACCACACGGGGGGACCTAGTGAATGACCTGCAGATTGCTGGGACCAAAATAACAAAGCCTACCATCAGTAACACACTACGCCGCCAGGGACTCAAATCCTGCAGTGCCAGACGTGTCCCCCTGCTTAAGCCAGTACATGTCCAGGCCCGTCTGAAGTTTGCTAGAGTGCATTTGGATGATCCAGAAGAGGATTGGGAGAATGTCATATGGTCAGATGAAACCAAAATATAACCTTTTGGTAAAAACTCAACTCGTCGTGTTTGGAGGACAAAGAATGCTGAGTTGCATCCAAAGAACACCATACCTACTGTGAAGCATGGGGGTGGAAACATCATGCTTTGGGGCTGTTTTTCTGCAAAGGGACCAGGACGACTGATCCGTGTAAAGGAAAGAATGAATGGGGCCATGTATCGTGAGATTTTGAGTGAAAACCTCCTTCCATCAGCAAGGGCATTGAAGATGAAATGTGGCTAGGTCTTTCAGCATGACAATGATCCCAAACACACCGCCCGGGCAACGAAGGAGTGGCTTCGTAAAAAGCATTCAAGGTCCTGGAGTGGCCTAGCCAGTCTCCAGATCTCAACCCCATAGAAAATCTTTGGAGGGAGTTGAAAGTCCATGTTGCCCAGCGACAGCCCCAAAACATCACTGCTCTAGAGGAGATCTGCATGGAGGAATGGGCCAAAATACCAGCAACAGTGTGTGAAAACCTTGTGAAGACTTACAGAAAACGTTTGACCTGTGTCATTGCCAACAAAGGGTATATAACAAAGTATTGAGAAACTTTTGTTATTGACCAAATACTTATTTTCCACCATAATTTGCAAATATATTCATTAAAAATCCTACAATGTGATTTTCTGTAATTTTTTTTCTAATTTTGTCTGTCATAGTTGACGTGTACCTATGATGAAAATTACAGGCCTCTCTCATCTTTTTAAGTGGGAGAAATTGCACAATTGGTGGCTGACTAAATACTTTTTTCCCCCACTGTAACTCCACCAGTCCTACCGATGATATCATTTACGAAGATTATACCTTTTTTAAACATCTTGTTTTAGAAATAGTGATATTTGGGAGATGATTTCCTTTTCCAATAACTGAAAATGAGTTGTTGCAATCTGAATAAAGGGAAAAAGGCCTTTCGTGAACATTGGGTGAGACAATCTTACTAATTTGCTTGAGAACCAGTTCGGATTTAAGTATAACTTTTGTATGACTGAAGCTTTTAGTGATAGGTCTAATGCTTTAATATTTAATTTAATTTATGTCCTCTGAATTCATATTCATTATATAAATATGCCCTTTTAATTTTGTCTTGCTTGCCGTTCCAAATAAAATTGAATATTTTTTTTCTCATATAATTTAAAAAACTGTTCGCTAGGCGTAGGCAAGACCATAAGCAAATAGGTAAACTGGGATAATACTAAAGAGTTAATCAGGGTGATTTTTCCACAAATTGACATGGTAGTAAGATCTTATCTATTTTTGCTAACTTTCTATTAAAATGTATTGGAGTGAGATCATTTATTTCATTTGGGATATGTATTCCGAGTATATCCACATCAACATCAGACTATTTTATTGGTAAACTACATGGTAATGTAAAATTTTTATTTTTTAGTGATCCAATACGTAATATAGTACATTTGTCAAAATTTGGTTGTAATCCAGATAGGTTAGAAAAAGTATCTAGATCCTGCAATGATAAAGTTAATCCAGCTACAGAACAAAGTAAAGCAATGATCAAGTTAATCCAGCTACAGAACAAAGTAAAGCAATGATCAAGTTAATCCAGCTACAGAACAAAGTAAAGCATTGATCAAGTTAATCCAGCTACAGAACAAAGTACAGCAATGATCAAGTTAATCCAGCTACAGAACAAAGTAAAGCAATGATCAAGTTAATCCAGCTACAGAACAAAGTAAAGATAAAGTAATGTTGCGTCACAAGGCACTGGAGCTCAATCACATTCCTGTTTGGTAACCACTCTCGTAAATTCTGACAACATGACGTTTGGGTTATTGCATGCACAAATTAATCTAAAATACAACAAGAATATCCACCTTAGGTGATGAGCCCAGCTAACTTTTACCAGAGTTTTGTCACACAACACAACACAACGCCACAGATGTCT